TTCTATAGTTTTTGAATAATTACTTTAAATAATAAAGCTTTAAATTTATTATTTTCAATTATTAATTCTATAAAATAAAAAGTATCCATTATTTCAGTAATTTATTTATAGATATTCTAATATAATTTATATATAGTATTATATTTATTTTTTTTATTATAATATTCTTCTTATAATATTAAATACTCTATAAAGATATTTTAAAAGATATAAAAAATAAATAAAGAAATAGAATTTATTTAAATATCTCCTTTTTAATCTTATTTAGATCTATTTTAATATATAATAAGATCTTACTTATATTTTACTTAATTGATTATATTATATTTATTTATAAATTCCAAAATCTCAATAAGTTTAGATAGATTTTTAATAAATTAGTTTTTTTTATAAATAAAGATTACCCAATAAAATTTTTTATTATCTTCTAAGAATTCTCTAATTTTGATTAGAGTAATTAGAATAATCTTATTTTTAAATAGTTTAATATCCTTTCAGATATTTTTTGATATATAAAAATATTATAAATATAAAAACCATTTTGATTAGTATTTATAGATAATTAGATAAGTAATTTTTAAGAAATTATACTTTGATATAATAAATTATAATAAGATTGAATATAAAAGGATATTTTATATTTGAAATAAATTAAAAGATATATATATATATATGTACATAGTTTGAATACCAATTAGACTTATAATTATTATAAAAAATAGTTATATTATTTAATTACTTTGATTAGGAAATAAATATATATAATAATAATAAATTAGATTAATTTAAGGTATAATTATAAAAATTATACCTATCTTATATATTTAAATTAGGCAATGGAATTGCTTAATTAGGTTAATAGGGCTTATTAATATTAATAATAAAAGAGTGTTTTGTGATTATGTGAATAGGCACTTCAGAGAAGTGCTATGCTTAATTATGTGGTGTTATATAAGACGATGATTTCCGTAATAAACTTGAATTATTAATAATTCTATAATAATACCCTTAATGAATATAGTATATATATCAAAATGAAGCTAAAGTTTAATATTATTATCTAATTATATATAAAGTTTTTATAATACCTTCTTATCTTTATTCTATGTTATGGAAATCACTATCTTATGTAATATTATATAATTAAACATAGCACTTCTTCAAAGTACCTACTTATATAATCACAAAACACTCTTTTATTATTAATATTAATAAGCTCTATTAATCTAATTAAACAACTCTATTATTCGATTTAGATATATAAGATAAATATAATCCTTATAATTATATTTTAAGTCAATCTAGTTTATTATTACTATATATACCTACTTTCTAATTAAAGTGATCAAGTGACATAGCTATTCTCTATAATAATTAAATATTAAATTAAACTTAATAAAATATTAGAAATTAGAAATATTAAGCTTGATATATTTAATCAAATATTATATTTATTAAATATTAGATTAATTTAAATAAAATATTAGATCTAATATTTTTCGAATTTCTTATATAATAATTAATAACGATTCTTAAGACATTATAAATCTAATAATAAAAACCCCGAATGTTATTATTTCATATATTAATACCTTAACTAATATATAATAGAACTAAATATTATTATTTCGTTATACTATTACTAAATTTATACATTAGCAAATTTCGAATCTAATATATAATCTTTCAGAAATTAATGAAAAAAAAAAGATATAATTATTAATTAAAATTCAAGAAATTCAATAAACTAATTTGTTTTTAATTATTTTAAAAATTGAAATCAACATTCAATTTATTAATATTTCAATAATAAAGGGATTAGTACTAAAGCTTGATTATTGTAATAAAACTAACTAGAAAATTGTTAAATTGAATTTCAATTTCAATTTTTGAAACAATTCAAAATAAATTATTTTATTGAATTCCTTAAGCTTTAATCAATAATCATATTCCTTTTTCTTTTATATCATTAATTCCTAAAAGATTTTATATTAGATTGAAAGATTGATAAGTATTATAAAATGCTAGTTGAGATTGTTTTAGTTATAAATCTGATATTTAAGGTATTAATATATGAAATGATAATATTCGGGGTTTTTACTGTAGATTTAATATATTTAAAAACCTTAATATCTTTAATATTTTTATATGATTTTTTAATTTATTTCTTTATTGCTTTAATATTATTTATAATCAATAATATTAATAATATTCTAGATATTTTATTAATAAAATATTAATATATTAGTATTATATCTAATTATTATTATCACATCTTATTATTATTATTAAAATGTCTATTTTAAATCTATTTATTTTATTTAAGAATCGAATAAAGTATATTTGATATAAATATAATTAATGTTAAATTGTTTTTTATTATATATATATTACAATATCAACTATATAATCTATATGTATGAACGTTGATCATACAGTGAATAGTTTCAATTCATTAGCTACTGTATTACAAGCCCTAAGCGAAAGCGAAAGAGACTAGCTCTTTCAGTAGGTCTATATAAGACCTACTACTTCCTGTACATAGCTAGCTCTTTAGACAGAATACAACATAGACATTTAGGACCTACATTCGTAGGTACTACGTCTTCCATATCCTTCTCAAACCAACACTATAATTACCTTCATACCTTAAATATAGATTATTAGTATACTCTACTTTCTATAAATAGAGTTTTACTTTTTTATATAGTACTAGGCCACTTATGTCCGCCCCCCCGCTTATTTTATAGTGTTACATATTGTATTATCCTTTTTCAATATTAAATATTAAATTAATTAAAAATTATAAAATTATTAAATTTGAATAAATGAATAATATATTCTTATATTATTGATATATATAAAAATTATTCTATTATTGACTTTCAATCTATCAATATTTAGTATATTAGTTATTTATTATAATACAAGTCTTGATTCTAGAAAGCATACTAGCTTCTAAATTATTAAATAATTCTTTATTTAATATATCTCAAACTATTTATAAACAACTCTCTAGTCTTTAATAAGTATATTCTGATTTGCTTTTATTAATAGTAATATCAGGAAACATTTTATATATTTTTATCTTTAGGGTTTATTATATATATTCTATAGGATTGAGATTAGAAGAATAAAAAGACTAATTCTTTAATAAAGGGATCTCCTTTTTTTGAAACTAATCTCATACCTTATAGACATAATAAATAAATGTAGTATTCTATATAAATTTATATTCTAAATCAAGCTTTTCGAAAATAGAGTTTACTTCAGCTTCAAAAACCTTGAGATAAGAATTAATATTATATTTATATTTCACACTTTCAAAATCTCTATTCATTATATATAGATTATTTCTTTTAATATTCTAAAAGCTTTTTTAATATATAATCTTTATATTCTTATTTGTATTATATATTTCAATTATTTTTAGATTCTATTTCTGAAAGTTAATACAAAAGCATTATTCTGATCTTTTTTCTCTTCCTTACTCTATAGAGTACTCATCTGATTATATAACTAAATCTCATTCTTTAATTATTAATTCTTTATAAACTAGATATTATTTAAGCTATTTAGTAGTATATACTAATATAAACTTTAATCTTTTCTTATATCTCCAATTGGTTATATTATGTTCAATCAAAATCCTTTTAATAATTCTAATACTATAATCAAGCTTAACCTTTTGAATAACTTGTTTATATATAGCTTTCGGAAATAATTATATATTTTGTAATAATATTCATTTATTTTGTTTAATATATGATTTAGATTAACTAATACATGATAGGTATATATTGTTATTGTATTTTAAATCTTACAAAAAAGTATATTATATAATTCCATAAGAAAGTTCGAGATTCTTTATAATTTGATAGAAACTAAAGCTTTCCTTTATCTTACTAATTATTTTGCTATATACATATAGAGTAAAATACTTATAAGAATCATTTTGTATACCTTTAATATATTATATAATATGAATTAAAAGCATTATTAAAATAATAAAATATAATTGTAGAAGTGTAATATATGAAAAAACGCGTTTTATGGAGTTTCTACTAATAGAAGTATATAGTGACTATAGCCCTTTTATTTTTATAGTATAATATAAGTTTTTATTTATATCTTAATAATTTATATTATTTTTATAAAAACTATTATAGTTTTATTTATAAAATACTCTTTTATTATTAATATTAATAAACCCTATTAACCTAATTAAGTAACTCCATCGCTCGATTTAGGTATTTAAGATAGCTATAATCCTTATAATTATATCTTAAGTTAATCTAGTTTATTATTACTATATATACCTACTTTCTAATCAAAGGTGACCACAATGCAGTTAAAGGTTTCCGAAGCCGGGCGGGGAGGGTTTGCACTGCTTTAGTGTTAAGATAGTCATCCCACAAAGAGGCGATTGAGCCAAAGATCTGTTGTCTTTCATTTGCTCCATTAGTAGCTGCATTAGCTGTGTTAGTGAGCGCTTGGGAGAGAGAGGGAGTGGACTTAGGGGTCCCTCCGACAGTCGGGTGGGTGAAAGGCATGTTCGTGATTGTGTTCGATCTGAGAAACCAGATCCGAGTAAAGGCTGTGATATAATGTTTGAAGTTGTGGTCACGTGCCCGCATATAATCAGCTTTCATAGAACATAATCAAGGCAGACTTATTACAACCTATCAAATTGACCTTCACGTCACAGAAGTTGATAATTCCTTTAGTTCAGACGGTATTCAGGCAGATTAGCTATATATGCATATTAATTTATACCCAATCCCAACCTAAGCGATGCTGATAATTACGGGTGGTCACCTCGTCCTGATTGTTTGAAGGTATCCGATCGAAACACCGGTAGTACCCATCTGGATTATTATATGATCTAATACGCCTACACAGGTCACAATCAGCTGGTTAATCTTTCACCGGGGTCACGAGCAGCAGACCCTCACATGATGGATCCAGCGAAATCCCCAGGTTGTTAAGTTCTTTGAGGCTTAGGCCATATCAACTTTCCAAGTGATATTATTCCAGTCTTTTCGTCGTGATAATTTCAGGCGCAAATCAGTTCCAGCGACTGGTCTACCAATACCAGATGTCATCGTTGGCATTGTTCTTTCTGGAACGGTTAGCGTTCTTCCTTCCGCGTCAGTAATGTCGAAACTGAGCAACAAAGCAATCATCATTCCCCAAATCTCCATGGAGGCGAAATGTCGGCCGGGACAAAGATGTTTCCCGCCGCCGAAAGGCACGTAGGTGCCCGGCTTTATGTGCGATTCTGATTCTCCAGGCACACCAGCGTCCTTGATAAATCTCGTCGGATCGAAATTACCAGCCTGGGACCCCCAATGTTCCTCCGAGACATGGATGATACTTTGCGAAGCCATCAAATTATTACCTTTCTTCAAAAGGTACTCTTGACCACCTTTTCCGTTGGAAATGATAGTGTCTTCCATAACCACGCGGTTGAAAGCCCCCTCTGCGACTGTGCGCAAGTTCTCGTGGAAAGCAGCGACAAGAAGCGGGCAACGCTCCTCGATTTTCGCCATATTCATCGTCATCTCGCGCTTCCCGTCACCGCGTAGCTCCAAGCTTTCCGCAACAACGACCGATACCTCCTCTCGTAACCGAAACACCAGCGACGGATCACTCCAGATGTGAACAAAATACCAATTGAATGTAGGGATTGTGTTGAAAAGCGCGGCCTGAAGCGTTGCTTGGAGAAAGGCTGCTATGTCGCTTTCCGAGAATCCGAACTCGTGAAGAAGATCGTACGAGCCTTTCCAAAGCGCCGAGACGTCATCCGCCTCGTGCTTCTTCTCCTTTGTGTATTGGATAAGGGCATGATGAATGCGATTACGGGCCATCCATGCACTGGGTGCAGTCATCCAAGGTGCTGGACCCAAAGCGAAATGCACCAGTTTGTTGTCGACGTACCAATAATCGTCGACGAGCGAAGGATGGGCACAGAATGGGTTATTTCTCCCCAACATCGCCGCGGTAGAAGCAAACGATAGTTTGTCGCGGAGCCACAACCAACTGTCCTCTACATTGACTTCGTCCGGCAATTCGTCGAGCTGACGGAATACATCAGTAAGCACAGCTTTATTAATCTCCTTGAGTTGAACCCCATTCAAGCAGCCGTAGAAGTTCTTGGTCCAACGCGTCTCCAAGCCAATACTTGGATCCACGTATTTGCGTACCCCCTCCTTCGAAATTGTGAAGAGCTTGGCAATTGTGGAACGAAGAACAGGGTCGAAGCTCAAGGATCGCGACTTGATCATCGCATTGACTAGTTCAGGCGAAGCTACGAAATAAACTTTCCCACCCATCATGGGAAGCGTATAAGCTTCTCTGCCTTCGGCTTGTTTGCTGAGACGTGTCAGTCTTCAATCTAGTGATAGCAAGAGATATCACGAGAGTCTACCACATACTAGGTCTTCGTGAAGAAGGCATGTGACAACGTGAACATATCCAACACATGGCCGATAATAGGAATTGTGGGTTTCAAGATTGGCGGCTCTCGTACATCGAGCTGCACATTAGAGAGGCGCCATAAAAGGAGAAACGCACCGCCAACTAACGCCGTCGCAATTGCGGTCGCGTTACTTGTGAGTGTCTCGACAATGGCCATCCTGAACCTCGTCGCGGGTGTGTATAGACAGAATTACAGCTCGGGCTTATATAAAAACAAATTTTGGACAAAGAAGAGAGATGAAGTTTGCTTTCAATTCAATTTAATGTTTGAAAGGCACTACTTGTCACATGTGCGGAGATAATGCCGTTTGAGAGGTCTGTATCCACAATCATTAAAGAGAAGGGCGGTCGATCCGATCCTTATACACACCGCAGCTGTTCTGATATTGGCACGATTGTTATCCTAGCCCTTGTAGCTATTTATGCATGACAATCCAAAATTTCTTATGCTGACAACCCTCATTAGTATGGTTCCGGATCCTTCGGTTTGCCGACCCATTTTTGAAGAATATTCTCGCCGTAGCTGATGGCATTAATGCAGTTTAGGATGTAAGCGGATATAAGACAAGGAGTAACTGTAGGCCCGTACTTTTGCCGTAGAGCTGCCCAATTGGCTTCAGGCAGGTCGTAAAACGCAATGGTGCCTATTATCATTGGAGAGTCAATAGTTCAGAGCCAAAACCATTGAAATCACACCAATTTCACGTAGAAGACCATAACTTTATAGCACAACAACGACGGCATTTCGCTATCCAAGAAACGCTAAGAGGTTACTTTTGAAAAATGCAATGGTTATTAATCCAATCAGTATTTTTCATTTTCTTTTGATAGTTTTATTATTGGCTTTTATAGTTTAGCTAAGACATCTTAAAGAAGAAGTAATGACCATCGGCTTGCAGTCGTCGCCGGCGAATAAGGAACGCATCAATGAAATTTTTCGAAGATTTAGTGTGTGTGGATTGGAGGGATTTAGGAGAGGGAGGCTGCGTTGCCTTGGTTCATGCTTGGATCTATGGAGCTTCGAATTTCTCACCTATAGATCTACCCGAGGGCTAGGATTACCGACTCTTTGACCTTGGAAACTATCCTCTCAATGTCATACTTTGTGCTCGTGTAAGCAGGTGCTATCCATGCGTGATCTCCAGTCACACCGTCCTTGGTACCCATTCCCGGGTAGAAGCTGATGCCTACATCGTCGAACGCTGTTAAATGAACTTTCTTCGATATTCCTGTCGATGGCGGGAACGGCTCTTTCGTCTTCTTACAGGCCACAAATTCCAGCTTCATATGTATCAGCTTACATCTTCCAAAACTGCAGCAACTTTCTCACTGGGTGGTTAACTTACCGACCAGAAGAAGCCTCTGCCTCTAACATTACCAACGTAGGGGTGATCATCCAGTTGCTCATGTAGAAGCTTGCCCAGATATTCGCCGTTCTCGCGGACATTCTCGACGAGATTGTCTTCTCTTACGATTCGCTGAACTTCTAGTGCAGCAGCACATCCCACGGGGTGTCCTTGATAAGTATGTGCGTGTGCAAAAACGCTAGTGCGGACGTTAGTTTTGAGAGTTCGGTATATACAGACTATCGCGACTTACCCAGTTCCAGCTATCAACGCATCTGTCACACGATGGTTGATAAACATGGCAGCCATTGGTGCGAAACCACCTGCTAGACCTTTGGCAACGGTCTGAATATCTGGGACGACGCCCTCTTGCTCCCACTCATGAAGTGATCCACAACGACCCATCCCGCACATGACCTCTGTTCATGATCAGTAATCTCGAGTAGAGGCTCAAATCTTATCAGTAGGTACTCACCGTCCAGAATGAGAAGCGCCCCGTACTTTTCGCATATTTTCTTCATAGCTTTGAAATAGCCAGCAGGCGCAGAGACTGTGCCAAGTGTCTTTCATGCAACGAAATCAGCCAAGAACATGAACATCCGGACAACAAATATACTTACCGCCCCAACAACAGGCTCAGCAACAAATGCACAAACAGTATCAGGTCCAATCTCCTGGAACTTTAGATCCAGCTCATCTGCCAATTGCTGCACGTAATCCTCCGTTGTCTGGCCATCAGCCTTTCCACGATACTCGTTGGCGGCCGAGACACGGTGAATGTTGTCGAACAGCATGCCCTCAAAGAGCTTCCGCCGTCCGACATGACCACTCATCGAAAGCGACCCAAGAGTTGCGCCGTGGAAAGACCCTTCGCGCGCTATGAAGTTCGTACGCTGGGGCTGTTTTGGGTTCAGCTCCATGTAATACTGTCTTGCCATCTTCATGGCTGCCTCCATGGCTTCAGCTCCTAAAATTTTGTTAGACGTCACGTCTGAATTGGAACAAGTGTGATAACATACCAGAGCACATCAGGTATACCTTTGACATCTCCCCGTTAGTCCCCCTGATGAGCTCCGCAGCCAGTTCTTCACCAACTTGATGCCCATAAAACATTGAATTTGAATAAGAAAATTTATCCATTTGCTTAATCATGGAAGTTTTAACCCTCTCATTATCGTAGCCAATGCAGGCTACTGCTGCACCACAAGTCGTATCCTCCATCTTTTTGCCATTGGAGAACGTCACAGTTGTACCCTTGGCCGCCACAACTTTAAGCGGCGCTGTCTTTAGAATCGGATGAAGAAGAGCACTGGGCTCACTGGTACTTCCTAGCGGCGATTGCTCTAGGTTGCGGGTTAGGGCAGAAGTGCTGAGGGCTGCTGCAGCGGGAGCTTGTCGGGTGCTGTAGCATGATACCGCTTGAAGCGTATGAGAAATTGATGGAAGAGCCAAAGCAGACTTCCTGACACGACGCAGGAGCACTTGAAAGTGTCTAGATGAGTTTGTAGCGGACATTGGTGAAATCAATAGTTTGATGTCTTGTCGCAAGCCTCAAACTTCAAGGAGCTTGACAGCAACAGTACTGAAATAGAGCAAGCAAACTATTCATCAGACATTAAACTCTTCGACTCTTTCTTCCACATTCATCTCGGTTTCGTATGGTGGTAGAGTGTAGACTCGAAGCGAAGGATCATGTCGATCCCCTAGTGGTGTTGCTGCAATGCAGCAATGCAGTTTACATCCCGTACGACTCGTCACTTCTGTCGAAAACTGCGCCCCCCCTTCCCCACCCTGGACAGATACAACACCTAGGGCTTTAGTGGTTACGTGATCTTTGTCCTGGTAAGCTAACAGATATATTGTGATACCCAGGGTTTTAGCGGTTACGTGATCCTTGTTCCGGTAAGCTGACAGATATACTGCAATACCCAGGGTTTTAGCGCTTACTAGTACATGCAGTCTATGGACTAGTTACCACTGCTTGCAGGTGTGTGGTACATATACGGAATGTATATTATATCCGCATACCATAGTAAGGTAGGAGAGACATGGGATTACGGTAGTGTGAACGTAGTAATTAGTAACCGTAGTCGCTCGATTGTATAGTGACATCGGGTACATAATCCTTCGAAAGCAAGCATAGCGACAGGGTGAGGGTCTTGGAGGTCTCGCGGATGAGTTGTCCTGCATCTTCGTAGCGTTAGCCGTTCGCCCCGCTGGCTCGAGCAAACAGCGATGCCTGGTTGCGGAGATGTTGAAGCAATTAGTGTAACAGAATAGTAATACATTAATTGCATCTACTATCCGCTGATTCATTACTAATTGGAGGGACATCCCACGCTAAACTAGATGGTCCACTTGGAAGGACTGGGAACGTTCAACTCAACATCACCATCGACCATTTTGACAGCTACCTATCATCTTCTTCTTCACGTTAATGAACAAGTTTGGACTTTTCTAACTAATCAAGTCTATCCCACCGATATTGAATCACCATGTTTGCGCTTACAAGGTCCTCCTCACGTGGCCTTCAACCGTTGACCGCCGTTGCAAGTAACGGATTCAATGGACACAGCCGCAGCTACGTAAGCATAGCTAATCGTGTACACCGTGTGACGATGTTCAAGATGCCGAAGGCTGAGGATCAGAAAAGGTTTTTGGAGCAGTGTCGGAAGATGGCTGTTGACAATAAGAGGGTATGATAACCCCCCTACCTTAGCCCGTCCTTACGTTCATTTCCACGGGGTCTTAACCCCACTGAGACCACGAAAACACCTATGCCTGCTTCAGAGTCAAATACTCACGGGTATACTAGGATGGTACGCCTTACATACTGAGTATGGTTGCCGGTCCTGTTGAAGAAGGCTCCCGCACTGAAGGCTACACCTTTGTCAACAAGACCGAGTTCGTCAGCATGGACGACATGAAGTACTACGAGAGCGAGTGTCCTGCTCATGGAGAAGTGAAGAAAGTCTTAGATGAGATTACTATAGACGGGATGATGACCGTCTTCTTTAAGCCGCAGGCTACCGGAGGCACATAGTGTTTTGGGATAACTTCAAGGAAGAGGGCTATACAAATACAAATGAGGCTTATAACTCCATGTGTGGGGAAGCAATAGGTTGAGAGACAGAGATTATTTGCTGAGAATACTAAGAGTAGCAACCTACAAGACGTTTAGAAATGGCTAGCGATTATCTTTGACAGTACAGTTAAAAGGGCGGAGTTTCTAATGGAAAAATGGTACAAATTGTATGTGGTGTAAAAGATATAGAATTGAAAGTGGGAACGGCCGAAAGGCCGATAAGAGTTCCCACTTACTAAGCTTAATGCCTGAGGCACTAATATTAGTATTAGCATATCCACTTCTGTTCAACCCAAACATAGAGTAACCTCAAACGTTGCTCACTCTATCACTTCGCCAGAGATAAACCTCCACTGCGCTGCCTCCCATCCATTTCGTCTAGTCAGGCGGGTACCGCACACGGAAGCCTCGTCTTCTGGCTTGCACACAGACGTCACTTGGGGACACGTAGACATGGGCGGCGGCTTGTACGTGTCCCAGTTCCCGTCCAAGGGTTCCACGTTATAACCCAGGAGTAGCGCGGCCACGAAGCCGTAAATCTCGGCCGTGGCAAAATTCCGCCCAGGACACATATGAGCGCCTCCGCCGAATGGTGTAAAGGCAGCACGTCTCAACTTGGCTTGTTCGCTCGTCAGTCCCTTGTCCAGGAATCTATCGGCTCGGAATGCCGCTGCGTCTTCGCCCCATATGTCCTCCGAGGCATGCACGACTCCTGCAGGCATCTTCACGGTGGCGCCTTTCTTGAGCAGGTACGAGCGGTCATGTCTGTCCGTGATGGTCGTGTCCTCTAGGACCATTCGGTTACAGGTGAATCCATTGCAGAGGCGGCTAGCCTCACGGTAGGCGCTGATCAACAGAGGGCACCTTTCGAGGATGTCGTCTACGTTAATGGTCACTACATGGCCCGGACCACGCTTCGCAATAGGCTCAACTTCAGCGCGCAGTTGGACGACCAGATTGGGCCGCGTGAAGACATGGATGAAGAACCAGAATATGGTCGGGATGGAGTTTGATGTTGGCACATGTATGAGGCCAACCTCAATGTCACCAAGTTTTTGCCCTTCGACGCCGTATCCTCGAAGAATGCCGACCCGGTTTCTGATATAGGCCGAGACCTGCTCGTCGTCCTGCTTCATGGTCGTACACCACTTTCCCAAAGCTAGCTGCAGCCTTCGTCTTGCTTCTTTTGTACGCCGCAGTGTCTTGGAATTGAAAATATGGAAGAAGAGGTAAGGCAGACCCGTTTCGAACGTCCTATAATGAAATGTCATTAGCAACATGCTTACCATTCACTATTGGAGATCGGGGCTCTGTGAAATGACCTTACCAGACATCCTCTACAAGTTCGTCGCCCCTGATGGGATTGTCAGGACCATACAGAGCCTCGCATGTAGCGACGGTCATGAGATTGCGCAGCCAGAGGTAGGTATTAGTAGCATCCATGCCATCCCCTCCAATGCTATTAATGTGCTTTGAAACGTGCTTGAGGGAGGTGACATTCAACCGATGGATGTGCTGGGCAGTAGTTCCGTCATAGATGCTCTTGAAGTATTCGGGCAAGACATTTGACTGCATGAGCACTTGATGATACGCATCATCGAAGCCCGCCACCTTCTGTGCACCGCCTACAGCAAAGGGGGTGAAGGAGAGATGCTTGTTGCAATACGCCGACTGGACTAGAATGGGATCCGTTATCGCATACATTTTACTATTCAAAATGGGGATAGTTGCAATGGACATGTGATACTTTTTGCTGTTGAGGAGTGCATGTGTTAGTAGTGGTCATGGTACGACATCGTTGCGTCTAGTGTTTCCAACAGTGCTCTTGCTACCTACACTGGAACCAAAAAGAGACGTGTATGGATGTAGACTTACTCGAGACGTTTGAAGAATGCTTCCTGGTCCTTGAGCATACTGTAGAAATGACCAAATATAGGGATGTTATGTCTAAGAATCGGAGGCTCAAGGCCGTCGACGCTTGGCTCGAGTGCGCGCCCGACGAGGAAGAGCAGAGCGCATACTGCCAGGCCAAGAAAGACGGGCTTGCATAGCAGCAGGTCAACAATGCTCTCTGTCAGTGCCATATGTATTATTCTGTAAGAGTATTGATTATTGAGGCGTGGTTGGATAGTCAAGGGCTAGAGTGCGCAACCCCGATCAATCGTTTAGGTATGGGTGAAAGACTTGCTATTTACCTCAACAATGATGGGAAGAGGAGGATCACGCCAAACGACCCATTCTCAGCTACTACGTAGTGAGAGGTTTTCGACTGTGCTGTGGTGTGTATGACCGGCTGTTCCACTCGGACAGGGTGGCCGGGGAGAGAAGACAGGTGGGAGTAGGAGAAGTAGGATGTGAATTGATTGATAGAATTGACCAGGTAGATAAACCTGGTCGATGACTAAAAGTAAGCTTAACTAGTGCACACGTGACTTGATAAAACCACTTCTTCTACAGGGAGCTCAATCCTTGGGAATTGTCAGCTTACCCATGCATGATCATGTCAGCGTGGTGACGAGTACATACATACTGGTAGAAGTAAGCCTGCGTTCGTCAGCACGCGGCAAGAGATGCTAAAGAAAACTACCTAGTAGTGGGAACTTGGCGGGGTTGAGAAGGATTCTAAGCCTTGTAAAAGCCTCAGAAACATTCTGAAATCAAAAATTCTTCTCAATGTCAGATTCCTTCTTACAAGGGAAGGGGTACAGAATTCTTCTCCATCTTAGAAGCCTTCGAGCCTATGGAAGCATTCAAATTTAGGGAATCCTTTTTCTTAGATTTAGAAGCCTTCTAAGCCGCCTGTAACTCCCGCTACAGTAAATGTCATTTGTCTTTTGGGAGCAAAGACAAGTGTAGCATGGTGCAAGTATAGGCTGGCAGTCGCTCGAAGGGCAGTCTTCTGCTGTCGGTTCTGGTAGATTCTGGTGTGGTAGATTTTAGGCTTGATGCCTCAAACTCCCTTTATCCTGATTGGCTTATAGAAGGCCAATATATCCCACAATTGTCTAATCTAATTAAGCAATATATATCTTCACATACATTTAACTGTTTGATAGTTATAAACCCGGGATTTCCAAGGTTTAGACTCAAGGATTTTAATATTCAAGTTCATGATTGTGAAAATCCATAATAAGCCTGTTAAATCACTTATTAATACCTTACTAATTAAGAGATATCTTGATGACTAATATATTTGTAATATGATTCTATATTATAAAATCATATTATTATATAGTTATATATTAGTATCTTTTATCAAATTGATTTAGAATGGGATGGAATCAAATGGAAGTATATAGAAGATTATTATTAAATTGATTAAATTTGATTGGTTATACTTTCTTTTTATTATATAAAATGATTCTATAAGATTCGATTTAAATCGATCTTATTTATAAATATTAAAGTCTTAGGATTTCATTATAAACTATATAAACCTAGGATATTCTTTAAAGAAAATCTAGAAGAAATAAACAAATTAAATTCAATTCAATTTATTTCTATAATTTGATTTCAGTTCTATTATTATATTATATATTCGATTTATTTTTAAGCTAAATCTAACTAAGTTTTTTATTAAATATTATAATAATATTATTTTATTATAATTTAAGATTATACTTTTAATAGGTTATAAACCCAACTAGTTTAAATTAGTTTAAAAAGGAATTAGTTTGATTTAAGGCTGTGTATTATATATATATAGTTATTAAGCTATCAAATATCAAATTTTCAAATCAATTTAATCGAATTTATATCAAAAAACATTATATATAGACTCTGAGGTCTGTATCCCTAAAGTTAAACCTAATTAAACATATAAAATTAGATTTTTAAACAATATATTTATACTATATTACTATCCAAAACAAATAATATATCAATTTTCTTTATACCAAAGTACCCTAGCTTATTTAGTTTTTATTCTATATCAAATAAAATAAAAATTTAATTTAAGAGATAACTGATTTATTAGATTTTTAAAATTAAATCGATTTATTCATAAAATCCATTCAAATTTCGAAAAACTAGTTATATATATATATAAATTAATACTAATTCAATGTATAAGATTAATAAGCTTATAATAAAAAAGCTTAAAATAGCTTTTGGTATTAACTTTAAATCTAACCCTTTAAAAGGTAGATCTAATTATATAAAATAAATCAATAAAACTAAGCTTTTTCTAAAATTAAATGGCTTTATGCTATATATCAATGGTACAAAGATGCTACCTAATAAAAATCTATATATAAATGAATTAGGAAAGACTATTTTATTTAAATTAATTATTAAATATAATGAAAAGGTTTTTGAATATTAAAAAAATAAAAAAAAAGTATTAGGAGTTATTAAATCTATAATTAGCTTCGAATTAGTTGAAAAATTCAAGGACAAAATTATGGCTAAAAGTCTATAAAACTCTATTAATAAGATTTTTGGAGAGTTTTTTATTGAATTAATAGGAAGATACCTAAATAAACTAATAGAATCTAATTATATTAGTTCTAAGGGAATAAATAAATATACTAATTTAATCCAATCATTCTATAATTATTTAAAATCGATAAAATTCGATATCCCTAATGCTTTTATAGTATAATTTCTTTTTAGAGGCTTACCAAGTTTATTCAATAGTTTTGTTTTTCGAAAATATAAAGAATTAACTAAAAATCTGGTTAATATTGATTTAGATATATTTTTTTTTGAGCTGATATCCAAAAAAACTAGAATGTAATCTAATATTGATCTAAATACTAATAAAACTAGTTTTAATAAAGTTTCTTATTGCAAATATTGCTTTAAAAAGGGGTATTTAGAATTTAAATGCTTTATAAAATACCCTAAATTAAAAACTAATAAAAGAAACAATAAAAAGCATTTTAATTCAAATATTAATATTAATTTGAATAAAAATTTGAATAAATTAATCTCTAACAAACAATTAATAACTATAG